AATTAGAGAACCGTTTTGCTTCAAGTCCTGATTATGAATTTGTGATGTACGTTAATGATGTACCAGAAATATTTCAATTTGAGAATAGTGTAATGCATATCAAGCCTATAGCGACCGCAAATTATTATAAAGAAGAAAATCCATTAAAATTTGATTTAAATTTTGGTGCACGTTGTACTGGATTACAAAACACTGACGAATGTAAGAAGAATGCTAAGCACTCACCTTTAACGTTTATACCACCATTTATGTCCGCACAATTATCAACAAGAAACACACTATCCTTTAAATATGGACGTGTGGAAATACGCGCCAAGCTACCACAAACGGAATGGGTTGTTCCGGAGTTGTGGTTACAGCCTGTCACATATGCATATGGTGTCACGAATTATCAATCAGGACAGGTACGCATTGTATTTAGTCGTACAAATGGTACTTCAACTGATTTATATGGTGGCGTTATCTTAAATTCTGAAGAGCAGTGGCGGTATAAGAAGTTGTGTCATTTAGCTAAAGCAACTGATAAGAACTGGTACGATAATTATCATGTCTTCACATTAATTTGGACTGAGATGTATTTGGCATTCGCGGTGGATAATGCAGAATATTGTCGCATTCATACCTTACGTGATATAAATACCTTGCCGAATCATGCACAGTTAAGTACTGGCACAAAATTGGCACCTTTTGATCAGGAATTTATATTGACTCTGGGTTATGGTGTTGGTGGTCACGGAGATTTTTCAGATAACGAAAAATGGATAACGCCAAAACCATGGGAAAATACCGATCCACGCGCCATACCAAATTTTGTGGATTACTTAAATCACAAACATGGAGATTGGCTACAAAATGGGCGTTTAAGTATAGATAGTGTAAAAGTTTTTTCAGTTTAATCAAAATATTTTAGTTAGAAATAAATATATGTAAATGTATATAAAATGTGTTTATATAAAACTTAAAATATTCTTATACTTAGGAATTGTAGATTTTTGAATGACATTAATTAACTGCAATTACTCTGAGTGGATGCAACTTGCGTATTAAGTTTTGTTTTTTTTTTTTGACGCATAGGAATTTAGAAAAGAGCATCTTAATATACATAAATGTATTTACAAATTTATATACAAACTGACAAAATTAAAATAAAAGTTTAACTTAACGTTTATTTAAATATAATAAATTATCAAACAAATCATGCTTATGGTTTTGATTCGTCATGAGTTAGTTATTAATAAAAAAAAACGAACTATTGTATTCCAAGTATATAATTTACTAAAAATAAAGGTGAATTCCCTTATAATTTTTTTTATAATTCCACACATAACAATTTTTTAGAAAAATCAAGTTTAACTCATTAAATGTCAAGAATTTTTATTCATCTTTAATATCATTTAATAGCATTTAATTTAAAGTGATAAGTATAAAGCCCAATCAATATATTGGGTCATATAAACAGTATCTGCAGTAATCAAGTATACAATATATTAGTCATTTTTATTTATTACCGCTTGTAGCTTCATAGTTCTATTAGTGAGAACTTCAGTGGTTTTTCAGCGAAAGACATCAAAAAGCGATTTTTAGCCGCTTTTTGATAGCCCAATTTTTACCATAAAGAGAGTTTTGCAGAGACCGAAAGAAACAGTAGTCAAAGGTTTATATGCTAATTGTATTAAAACTTTCAAATAAAGTTTCGAGTCTTTCGAGTCATTAAAGATGTGTATGGCCTGGCATTATAATTATAGAACATAATCCATTTTTTATGACCGATTATAGTCGCTTTTCCATAATTGCTTCATTTTAACCTGACAACTTGTAAACAATAAAGAACCGAAGTATGTGTTTGACCAGGCTAAAATAGTTCGTAATAGACAATTGTCTTTTAATCCCACCAAATATTCAACATAACCTTGTTTGCTATCAATCCAGGCTTTGAAGTCGTTTGTAGAGGGTTATCGGCAATTTACCATGATCACTTGCGTTGGATATTTTGGTATTTGGTATTAAATCCATTTTACACAATCTATATTGATTCGTTTTAAAAATTATACGATATTGTAGCACTTTCTTTATATTATTCAGATAATCAAATTTCTTTACATAATTTGAATGATTGAGTCCGGTCAAATCAGTCCAAATTACGGCAATTCGTATAATTAGGACGGGCGTCTTTGCACAGCTTGCTCTTTTAAAACGATTTCAATCTATCTTTGATATTTAGTGCCTCCGATATCTCCTGATAGCTTATGCGGTGGTCTTGCTTCATCAGTTGTAAAATTGTTTGTACCCCTTTTGTAAATAACTTACCAGACTTGGATGCATCTTTAACATTGACATTTCCGGAATAGAATCGTGTACACTATTCCTGAGTAAGATATCCTCTATCAGCATCTTCACTTTAAGCCACACAAATTTTTCGATATGTTTTTGCAGAAGTTTGACCTTTTTTATAGTAATAAAGCATCATATGGAATTTTTCTTCAGATATTTTTAGATATAAGACAGCGGTTTAAGGAGCCTTAATGAAGTGTAAAAACTAATCGAATTTTTTTGTGTCTGGTCATGGGATGTGATGGAAAGCAAGAAGAAAGGTGACTGTCTCCCTAAACGATGAGTTCAACGGCAATTATTCGAATCCAAACCATTATGTACTCTAGTGAAAAGGAACATAGTGTACAAACACAGATATCTCATTTCAGATACTACCAGCATAAAAATTTATTAAGAGATTATGAAAATACATTTAAGGCAGTCTCAGGTGGCTTTTTGCACCTGAGATATTTTTCCTATTTACTTTTGAGCAGAGAGAATATTAAAATATATCAAGTATTTGATATATTTTAATATTTGTCGGTGTTGCATATTGAACAAATTGACTTAGAGTAGCAGACATCTATATGAGTTACAACTACCTGGTAGTTTTAAAATATGGAGGAATACAAAACCATAAGTGCTCATATTTATTCATAGCCTAATGATCGGTTAAAATAATAAGGGTTAACGTATACTTGAGTCAATTCTATGTGTTTGAATATTCTCCAGAAGTAATTATTTAATTAAATAAATAGTCATTCTATTCTTGTAAGATAAATTGTTATTGTTTCGAAATTATAAAAAGTTAATCTATGTCTGGATTAATTTAAGAGATTTACTCTAGATATAACACAATAGATCACATAGGTCGCGATATATCTTTTTTGTTTTAATATTATTAGTTCCCACAGTTATTATTTATAAAATCACTGTAGTATTCTGTGAAACTGAGTGTCTCTAGTAAGTGATGTTGTCTTGATATCATTATTCTATAATAATGATATTTAAATGTTAAAATAATTTGTATGTTCTCTTTTTATCAGACTATTTAGTATATGAAAATTCAACGAATTATTTTCGGTGAGAATACGGACGGATACCAAAATATTGCGACGATATTTTGTGTAGCGATTAACGTTCTCATCATTGCTAATTGTTAATTCTCTAATTAATTCTCTAATATTTTGGCATCCATTACAATTAAATTGAGATATCTGATAGTTTTTATCATTAAACATAAGAGAGTCTGGAGTTATAGGAGACTCTCCTGCAATATAAAGAACAAAAGAAAACTGTTTTTGTTAAAATAAATATTTATTTCATACTCATAATATAATTTATTTATTTATGCTATCAGTTAAGAAAACTTTTCCACAAATATTTACTAGAAACGTTTTTGTTTAATATGTTGTGGAGTTCACACATGTAGAGTTAACATAAAATACAGCATTATCCTGGCGATAACCCAGACCATCCTTTATAACGAAAGTCCAAAAGTATATTCTATCACCTAGATTTACTACTGCATCATCATTCCAATACGCCCAAAACCCAATTTCATCACTTAGTACATCGACGGACCAATTACCTGCTTCTAAGCCGTTCATTCGCTGATTTAAATTTCCATGAAAAGCAAACAAAGAAATACCAGGTTTATTAGGTATCCATACTATAAAGCCTCTAGGTTCGAAACGCATAAATGAAGCTGATGGAGCTTGAAAATCTTCACCGTTATTACAAGAACAAAGCGTTGCTAATCCAAGGCAAAGAAATACTAGAGACAATCCTATTTTTATAGACATCTTCACTTATTGCTGTTTAAACTGAGTATAAATTTCGTAACTAAATTTTGTGTTTATATACATTTTCGCTGATCAAATCAAGTACACAAAAGAAAAGATAAGTAACCTTTATCTATTTTTTCTACGCGTATGATAAGTTTATTTTTAAAAGCTTTAAAAATGAAGTTTACATTACAAAACAGAAATTTTCCAATTATATTTCATAAAAACTTATACAACTAAATTGTAATAGTTTTTCATTTTGTCAATAATATAAATATTGTTATCTATTCATTACTGACTTGAGGCTTAAGAGATTGAAAATAAACTAAGAGATTATAATTAGTCATATACCTTTTATATAGTTATACAAATCAGTTAAATAAGACTAAAGAGATATAAAGAGTAGTAATAAGTTGAAGTGAACGAAAAAAAGTGAACGAAACTTGGTGTTTCTTTCAAGATTAATCCCTACTATAATGATAAACTATACATGAGATATTCATATAAAGGTGAAAAATACATCTTCAAATAAATAATCAATAATTATTAAATAAATGTTATTCATTTTATAGAGGTTAAAATCTTTCTGCCGCACTCATGGAGCATTTCTCTAAGATAAAACATTCCTGACAGATTGTAATTGTACCTACATTACAAAATTTCATTTCTTTATCCGATATGAGATGCCCATTTATGTACTCCTTTCGATTATTCTTCAGCGCCGGGCAATTAAGAGCGCGTATTTTGAGGTCCAATTCTTTTTCCTACAAAATCCACAAATCCCATAACAGTAAGTTCTGAATTTGAGAGAAGGGTCAGAATTCCTATAATGATTCTTAAATTATTTTCAATTAATTGCGACTTCTTTTCTTCTCTTCTCGACTTTTTCTCTCTTTTTGGGTAAAAAGGAATTACATACTCCCAACACTCTTCTATCAGCAACCTCACTTCCGGAAATTCTAGCGTGATCCAAAATCTATAAATTCCATATCTCATTGTTTTGGATAAGGATATTTAGTTCTACGAGACATTCCATCTGCAGTCTTGACGTCTTGATGGAGTGATTTTATTGCTTCCTAGCTCTCTGTGATTCTGACAGTTACACTCAAGGTAAGAGTATATGCACTAGTCCATCTGCTTGAAAGATAGCTATGTTTTAACTTAGTAGTAGTTTCAAGTTTTTCAACGAAACTCACAAACAGTAGCTCTGGCTTATTCTTCAGTAATTGGTTATGATTATGGTTAAGTTATAAAAATACACTTATCCACATGGGTGACATTGTTCCTACTTGTTATAAATTATGAAACAATACAAATCCGTTGCATGTGTTGTGAAATTACTGAATATTTCATCCGAATTGGATTCCTAAAACTTGCAATTTCCGTTATGGGATTCGAGGTTTTCTGTGGGTTATTTACTCATCAGGTTGCATCAGTAATTAAAGGATTTATTGTTTATAATATAAACTTATAAACAATTTAAGTCATTGCCTGATAACGGGGGTATATGGCAATTAAACAGCTTAAAATTAATAATAGCTCATTAATCTATATAGATCTGACCTCAGATTAAACAGTGATTTTTTGACTTAGATTAAAGAAGACTATCAGTTTTATCGGAAAGTCAGTTGAAAGTACTGAAACAGTTTCTTGACAATTGAGTAATTAAGTTAGTCAGAATCTTAACACTAAATTTCCCAAATTATCTAGGTGTCTTTTATTCCCATATTTAGAATGTGGTAGATAATAGAAAAATCATCGGTTAGGAAACCTATTATATTATAAAAGGTTTATTTGTGTATGGATTCGTTTAGGAGATTTACTCCAAAGACAACATAATAGATCTCATAGGTCGCAATTTATCTATTTCGTTTTAATTTTATTAGTTGGTACAGTCAAAATCTATAAATTCACTGTAATAGCCTGTGAAACTGTATATCTCTAGTAGTTGATGTATTCTTGATGGATGAATATTATATATAATAATAAGTTATTATGTTCTCCTCTTCTTATTAGACTATTTAGTATACCATAATTCAGCGGATTATTTTCAGGCGATTAAGACAAAAACATAACGACCATATTTTTTGTAGCGAAATATTATTAATAATTGTTTGAAATATATCTCTAATAATTGGACATTGATGTTCGATTACAATTAAATTGAGGTCTTATATATTTTTAATCATTACACACAAGAAAGTCGGGAGTCACAGGAGACTCTTCAGCAATATAAAGGACAAAGGAATCAAAAAAATATTTTTGATAAAATTAATATTTATTTCATACTCATAATTTAATTTATACATTTGTGTTATAAATGTAACTTAAAAAATATTTGAAAGATCATATCAATTATTAATTTCAGTTAATTAATAAAATTAGAAAACTTTTTATTAATATGATATTGTAGCAATCCTTAATTTTTAAATGAAAGTATTTAATTAAAAATATATTTTTAAAAATATTTTCATAGTTCACATATGTAGACTAAACATAAAACACACCATTATCCTGACGATAACCGAGACCATCCTTTAAGACGTAAGTCCAAAAATATATTCTATCACCTGGATTTACTACGGCATCATGATTCCTATACACCCAAAATCCATTTTCATTATTAGTTATATCGACGGACCAAGTACCTGCTTCTAAGCCGTTCATTTGCCGATTTAAATTTCCATGGAATGCAAATAAAGAAATACCAGGCTTATGTGGTATCCATACCATAAAGCCTCTTGGTTCTAAGCGCTTAAATGAAGCTGATGGAGCTTGAAAGGCGGTAGTACCAGTCAAAAGCG